CCCCAAAACCCCAAAACCCCAAAACCCCAGATGGGTTAAAAGCTTTGAATAATATATAAAACACATTAAATATGAAATACTATGAACTGGTATTGATAAGCATGATGGTACTCTTCATCTATAAGCAACCCCTGCTATTATCTCTAAAAATTTACTGCAAAAGCATTGTTGCTACAAAATTTCTAGATTTCGAATTTAACCACAGATTAATAGGCCTCTTTACAATAAGTTGCACTTCTACTTTATATTAAAGTTCTATTATGTTTTACTGTACTGGGCCAAATAAAATAATAAGCAACCATTTTTGAGGAATTTAAGATCCAAACATCATTTCAACTTCTTAGAATTGATTTTCTGCAAAGATTCTCTCTGCATCACTTTGCTTTGCCCCACAACACCAAATGTCTATTTTCCTGAGACTCTTCCTGAAATCTGAAGAAGTTGCAAAGCCTTGTATCAAGTTCTTGAACTCATCTGGATGGTCACTCCAATTGCTGTGAGAATTGTTTCCTGTTTTCCATAAATCTATTTTCTGAAATTGGCAATTTTGAAGAGCCCTTGAGAGATAAGTAACTGTTGGAATGGGCAACTTGCAGCTCCGAATACCCAAATGCTCTACATGTCTGTACAATTCGCACTTAACGTTGAATTATTAAAACTAAGGGTCCGGGCTTTGGATAAGAAATGTGTCAATTAAAGTTAATAAAGCATGAGAACTGATTGGGAATCACATTGCATTGTTTGTTATGAGTATATCAAAGAGAATTAGAATATTCAATTTTCAACAAAATATGTCATTATATTTTTAGTTTTAAGAGAAAATCAAATTAAAAAAATCCTAAGCAAAAGAATGGCTTTAAGGATATTCTACAATTTTAACTTTACTTTCAAAAATATGTATCCTTATGGAGATTGCAATTTAGGATCAATATATTTCTAAGTTTTTGGACATCCTTTGCTGAAATAGGAGATTACCATCATTTTTCTGAAAATATTACAAACATTTTGAAGAATTTTGTCTGACCTGTTATGATGAGCTCTATTGAAGTGAAAATATAAGATCTATAACCTAATCATCTTCTAAGTGACATTAAGCTAAATCAGGAGCACATGGAGATAATATATGGACTAAAGCGGACAAATATCAGCTATATGTATCCTTTATAAGTCTTCTCCTCCATACTCCATTTCTAACATAATTTCAACTTAAAATATACATTATAAGCTGCCACAAACCTCTTCAGTTGGCGAAAACTAAGACAGAAATACCTGAACATCACTTTTTGGATTACTTTTGAGCCGATCCTTACCAACGAGTTAAAGTAAGTAGCTCTATTCAGCTTCATTTCAACCGATTAATAAGTAGTTAGCACATTAGTTTTATTGGGGAATGAGAAATCTCTGAAATTCTGAATATCCTTAAGTTCTCATCTTGTATGTATGCAAATTCATTCCATTTGTATCAAAGGACTTTAGAAACTAAATTTTTTCGCAAGCTTCATATTTTCAGGTTTTCCGAAATACATTTCAAGCCAATGGTCTACTCAAAGCTCATCAGATTCTGGATCAGGTAGACTAGCTTTAATTTCTTTTGAAAGGTTATTGTAGTAGATAAAGCAACATCTCTGATATCTATGTTAGATGCTTTCGACCAGGATAGACTTCTCTAGACTACACAATTAAAGGTGAAATTCAGAAATCAGATTCATGCCAGAATTTAGAAAGTAAAGTTTAAGGTAAATCCTGAGATGAGCATGCATTGGTTAAAAGTGAAATATAATTTCGAGTTTATGAGTGGAAAGAAGCATAATAAAGTGCAAATAATAAGTACCATGGTAAAGTAAGGGTTTCCACTTTTCTTGGGTTCGATGTATTACTTTAAAGTCAGGATATTTTCATCAGATTTAATTGTCAGAGTGCAAAATGTATACATTTTATTTGAAAATTAGAGTCTCGTTAGGAAGAAGAGACTATTGTATGGTGATACTGAGGTATTATAAAAATCAAAGAGTTGCTCTTGCCATGTTGGCAATCTAAGATTAAAAATAGTAGGAATTCGGTGATTTGTAAAGTACAAATGCTTTCTAAATTTCTCTAAATAAATAGAGTCATTAAATGTTGAGTTTAAAATTTGAAGCCATTCAAAAACTTGTTAATTCTACCTTATTTTCTTGCCAAGTTTTTCTTGAACAATTAGATTTTCATTTTCCATTTTATTATTATTAATTTATTTTATTTTCAATGTATTTTCAGAGTACTGGGGTTTTGGGGTTTTGGGGTTTTGGGGTTTTGGGGTTTTGGGG